TATGACTCTTTCTAGAATGTTTCTACTCAAAGTATGGCCAGCATCGACGGCACCGTGAGCATGGTGGAAACATAGACTCTCAGGCCCCACCTCAGACCCAGTGAATCATGCTCTGCATTTTAGCAAGATTCCCAGGCAAGTCTTAAGCACACTTACGCTTCACACTTAGGCTTGAGAGGCACTGGCCTAGGATATCACAAGGCCTTTTGTTTCTTTCCTGAAAAGAGGTTGTATAGGAATTAAATCAGTGAATAGCTCAAGCAGTTTGATCTCATCTCTCTCTCTCTCTCTCTCTCTCTCTCTCTCTCTCTCTCTCTCTTTCTCTCTCTCTCTCGGCTCGCCAGTACAGGGATTGAACCCTGGATCTTGGCGTTATCAGCTCCACACCCTAACCAACTGAGCTGAGCTAACTGGCCAGCCCCCCTCAGTGCTCTCTCTTGAGAGCAACTGATTCTGATGTAGACTGATCAGATCCCTGAAAATACAAACTTAACAAGACAATCCTCAGTCCGTGCTTGTCTTGGCTACCTATGGATGTCAAGCTCAGTGTTTCAATATTGTGCCATTCAGGTTTCTTTTCTGGGGAGAGAGGCAGTACAGCAGAGCAGGTAAGCACTTGGACTCTGGAGCCAGCCTGCCTGGGCTCAACTTAACAAATTTAAGGTTTGTGACCTTGGATGAGCTGCTTATCCTCTCTGTGCCTCAGGTTACACATCTGTAAAATGGGGATGAGAATAAAAGTAGTTGAGTATTAAGAGAGCTAATATATGGAAAGCACTTAAAACAATGTCTATACGTAGCAAGAGCAACCAAAGTGTTATTTATTTATTATTGTTCTGGGACCTCCTAGACCTCCTCAAGTGAAATCAAAATCACAAACTCAGTCTCTAGGAATTTCTTTAGACTTTGTATCTGCAAGTCTGGAAGGCGACACCCTGACTACGGTTTCAGGTGACCAGTTTTCACTGGTCTGGAGATACACTGTAGCTGTCAAAACCACATTGACATTGGGAGGGAGACCAAGGAGGAGATGTCCTTGGCTGAGAGCATTTGAATCCCTGGCATGTGATGCCCCACTGTCTGTTGCTAACATTTTTGTTCAGTAATCAAAGAACTTTAAAGAAATGCACAGTGGTATAATTAAATTAAGTTTTAGAACCACGCTGAATTCAACAGAGGGAGGCAGGGTGCTGAGAAACTTTAAACCCACATCACTGTATGTGGGCCATGCTGCCTTTATTTTTATTTATTTATTTTTTTAATTTAGGCTTTCTCCAAGTCATATGTATTTTCATTCTGGTCATCTTTTGGAACCTTAAAGTCTGTAAGCTGACTTAGGAATTTATAAATAAAAATCGTGTTTTTGAAAGCATTATAATTAAAGTTGAAAATTGTGATTTGTTCTTGCAGAAGGACATTGAAGCAAAATTTTTCTTACTAAATGAGTATCTATGGATTTTGCAATATGGTCTTCTAGGTTTTCTATTCCAGCAAGCAATGAAATCTCAAAATTCAAAGTTTCTTAATTTCATCTATGCCCTCACTGGATGCTTGACACACCTTCATAACATCTCTACTGACTTTAAATTATGCCAAATTTTAACAACTTTGAAAAAATGAAAACAGGCCAAGGATCATTTAGTGAAAAGTCTGAACTCATTTAAAAACAGATTTTTAGTTTCAAGTATAAGACATGTTATTAACTAAAAGACAACATAAATGACTACTAAAATGCAAATTACCCAACAATGAAAAATGTATTATTCTGCAGTAAGCCAACCATAAAGGACATATCAGAAACATTATAAGAATTAGTGGTAGAGCCCAAAGGCAGGAGCACATAGAAAAAATATTTCCAATGAATCCTTGGCTTAAAACTTATTCCTTTTATTATGATTCTTTAGTTGGATATGGCTTTAGTAATTAAAAAAATTAAACTATTGCACTTATTTTATATAATACGGAGGTTTATTATATCAGCTTTTGGTCTGAATTAGTGGAGAAAGAATTATAGAATTGTGGTACTAAAAAGAGACTGTGAAGGTTACCTTTGTTCCAATGAGGAATTGATGTCCTAGAGAGGGAAACTGGTATCAGGGTTCCAGGGTCTGGAAAAGTTTCTGAAAGATGTCATCAGAAGTGATGGGAAGCTCAAGGTCAGTGCCTGAGTGCCCTCAAGGAGCCTGGGCTGGGTCCCTCGAGAACTGGGCCTGGTACTTGTCAATTAGCAGCACACTGCAGTGACTAAATCAAGTATGATAACACCTCTCAGCCCGGGCTGGCAATCAAGAGATGTGTGCTTTATGACAGCAGATAAAGCATGTTTTTCTTTGACTCAGTATAGCAGCAATGCCTGCTGAGAGTTTCATTGACTCAGGGTCCTCATTCTGGATGAGGGGAGACTTGGCACCAGGAGCAATGGTTACACTAAGTGGCTGCCCCCTCAATCCTCACAGACCACTGTGTGTGCTTTGTTTACTTACCAATTTTCTTCTCTAGCCTTAGAGGAATTCCAAGACAAGGGTGGTAAAGTATTTGCCACTGAGAGACAAAGAAACAAGATGTCTAAGGGCATAAGCTCTATGGTCACACTGCCGAGATTTAAATCTTGGCTCTACCACTTACCAGTTAGGTGACCTTATTTGAGTTATGAAATCTCTCTGTGCCTATTTTCTCAACTGTAAAATTGAGATAATTATAGTATCATCGCATGAGGTTGTTATAAGAATTAAGTGAGAAAATATACTGAGAGAGCAAAAATGAATCTTGTTAAGTGATCACACTGCAGTGTTTTTAAGAGAACATCAATATGATATTTCTAACAGACCACACTGTAGGCCACACCATTGCTAAAAAATGAATAACAATTTCTTCTTCAGTGTGATTGCTGCTTTCTTACCAACACCATCCCCAATCCCACTTTGTTCTTATTATTGAGATGCCTAATTGCTGAACTGTCCTTGCTTCTGAATAGCATCCATTCAAAAACAGGTACCTGCTTCCCTGATGCCACCTTAAAATCACCCAGCATAAGTCCAAATCTTATAACAAGCTCCTCCCAACTCACTCTTACAGAGATTTCCTCAGATATATGCTCTTTCTTACTGCATCAAGCTAATTAAACTTAACTTTGTATGAGTTAAGGTTTTCTCCTGGTGGTCTTTGGCTGATGGGCTTCCACAATACTGAGCACATATTGTAGCAAACCATATGCACAAGAAATGCTAGCTATTGGCTGTAGCAGGGAAGTCTTTTTATTTTCAGCTTCTTGCATGTAGCATACTTCAAGACATGTTTCTTCAACAAAGCATCATTCTTAAGTAACAAGAAAGCCAGGCAGCATGAAGATTCTCCTCCAAGGCCCAGTGTTACTGAGAAGTGTCAGACGTAATTGTAACAGCAATGAGTAAAATGGAAGGGCAAGCAAAGCAAAAATTTTGAGTCTACTGAAGCCCAAGTAGCAGCCATGAATTGACTATTGCCTGGACCTTTTAAGCTAAGCTAGCCAGATCTCTAATAAAAAAAAAATTTAAAAGAGGGAGGGGGTGAAATAGCTAAACTTTTAAGTTCTTATTTCTGAATTTCTACAAACACCCATCTGACAAACAACTAAGTGAACTTGTGGAGTAGTTGAATAAATATCCAAGACACATACTCATACATGGTGATGAGGCTAGATCTAGAACACAGGACAGGGTTTTGTTTGTACAGAAGGTATATTAGCTATCTGTTGCTGCATTACGAATCACCCTAAAACTTAGTGACTCAAAACAACATTAATTATTTACTTTTTCTGGCAATTGCTAACTACCAGTTAGGAATCCATGAGCTGCTTGTCTGGGTGTTTCAGGCTTAAGGTCTTTCACAAGTTGCAGTCATCTGAAGAGTTGCCTGGGGCTGGCGAACCCACTTCCTAGATGGCTCCTTCATAGCTGGCAAATTGGTTCTTCTTTATATGGACCACTCTACAGAGCTTTCTGAGCATCCACGTACATGACCGCTGGCTTTCTCCATAGGGAGCAATCCATGAGACCAAGACAGAAGCAGCAATACATTTTATGACCCAGCCCTGGAAGTCACACATATCACTTTGCCATTTTCTATTCTTAACACATGCTAGCCCTGTTTCAGTGCCAACTCTGCCAATCTACCAGATGTGTTGTTTTGGACCAGCCCCTAAACTCTGAGTCTGTGGTCCCTCATTTATAGCATAAAAATAACACTCTCCTTTCAGTACACTTTTGAGGATTAACCAATGTAATAAGATTATCAAGCCCTGCTTAGTATGATGAATTGCCCCACAGCAGGCACTATTTAGAAGTAATTTCCCTTTCCTTAGCATTAGTCCATTTTTGTTGCTTATAACAGAATGCCTGAAATTGGGTAACTTATAAGAAAACAAAATTTATTTCTTATGATTCAGAGGCTGGGGAGTCCCCAGTCCAGGGGATGCGCCTATTGAGGGCCTTCTTCTTAGTGGGAACTCTCCACAGGGTCCTATAGTGAGCAGGGTGTCACATGGCGAGAATGGGCTAAGCAAGAATGCTACCCCCATTTGCTCTCCTTTTAAAGCCATCAGAACCATGCCCATTATTCCACGAAAGGATCAATCCATTCAGGTGGCCACAGTGCTCCCAATCTAATTTCCTGTTACAAGCCCCACCTTTCAAATACCATAATTGGATTTCCCACCCTCTTAACATTGTTACAGTGGAGATTAAGTTGCCAACACATGAATTTTAGGGGGACACATCTGACAGTAGCACTTAGCTTCGGCAGGAAGCCTGTTCCTGGTTTGCCTCATTCTTCTAAAGGTTAAAAGCCGAACATCCCTTTTTTTTTTTTCCATCCCTGGTGAGGCGAGTTAGTCTCTACCCACCCTACCCCAACTCGGATTCAAAAGTAGGACCATACTGGAGGCGGAACTCTAGTTCCGGAGGGTTGACCGAAGCCGGAGCGCATTGCAAAACGGACCGGAAGTGGCTGCATCGGTTGTCCGCGTCGCGGAGGGCATTGGCAAGCCTCCAGAGCGACAGTTTCCACAGGGCTGCTGCGAGCTCCTGGCGGTGGTGTGAGGACGCTCTGAAAGCAGAGCGGCGGGGCGCCCGTAGGTGTCGCGAGCCGAGGCTTCCCTAACCACTCCATGCCTGGTTGGAGGCTGCTGGCGCAAGCCGGCCCCCATGTGCTGGGTGGAGGTGCGGGCGGCCTGGGTGCTGCCCTGAGCTCGGGGAACAGGTAGGTATGGGCAAGAGGCAGGGTGTGGGGGTGTGCCACCTGCGCAGCCGCGACCTTGAGCACCGCATAACCCGGCGCTGGGGGCCTTCCCTGCGTGGAAGAGGAAGGGGCTCTGTCCAGAGTGGGGTACAGAAGAATAAGGAGCGTTAACCTAAGGAAACAACTTCTAAAGGATTGAAAGGGTGATTTTTTTTTTTTTTTTTTTTTAATGCTTATAAGCTAGCGACTAGCAGCGAACATTATCAACAGCGATAACATCTTCCAATTAGTGAGCGTGTACTGTGTACTAACGCTCTGGTAAGTGTATTGGTGGCCTTCTTTCGTGTAGACACACGTGCGCAAACTGCTATCGTACATTTACAGATAAAACTGACGCTTAGAGAGGGGAAGTAACTTGCCCACAGTCACTCAACTAATAAATGGAAAATTGGGACTTTAGCCTGGATCTACCTGAGTACAAAAGAGGAATAGACTGCAGAAAGCCTTATTTCTATTCTGACCTTCTGTGCAAAAATCACACACTTCTTTTCCCACCTCCACCAACTAAGGTCTTTCTTGGTGTGCTCACCTGGTCAGAGGTCATGTATTTTAATGAATCTTTTGACTTTGCACACCTAGTTACTTCTCTTCTCCGAGCCTAGGCCATGTCACTACAGGGAGGAGGTGAGCTTGTCAGAAAAAGATCAGCATGTCACGTTCTGCCACCTTCACTGGATATAAAACTATTAAGGTAAACATGCAAGTGTGTTGGTGGCTTCTCATGTGGCTAGGTAGGACTACTTTGATTGGAATCTGTTTATCCCGGAGGAGAAGATGAAGAACTGTTCCTCCAGGGTAACCATTGACAATTCAAATGAGGGTCTAGCCGGTTAGCTCATTTGGTTGGAACGCAGTGCTGTAATACCAAAATCAAGGGATCAGATCCCAGTACTGGCCAGCCACCAAAAAATAAATAAATAAAATGTGAGCCCCATCATCTATCATAAGGAATGTCAGGAAAAAAACTTGTACAGAATTCAAACTCTTTCTTAGGGTCCTAGCTACACTTTCCAACACATGTATTTCCCTTTCTTACACTAAATGGGGGAAACTTTGGAATTGTGCTTTGGTTTGTTTTTTATTTTTATAGGACAAACGTCTGGCTTTTCGTTAGAAGTCTCCATGGCAAGAGTGGTACTTGGTGGGATGAGCATCTTTCTGAAGAAAGTGTCCCATTTGTTAAGCAGTTGGTGTCTGACGAAAATAAAGCCCAATTAGCAAGTAAATTATTTCCTCTGAAAGATGAACCGTGGCCTATACATCCTTGGGAACCAGGTAATTATTTTGTATTTGATGAGTTCTTATCTCCTAATTACTGTGTGGCTGGACATATTCAAAATCATAGTGACTGCTTGATAAATTTATCATCTCTTGAATTTATTTCTCATGTCTTAAATTTGTCTGTTTCATTGTGGTTTGGTTTACAAGTTTATTTCCAGCCTCCTAGTCTACTATTAGTGAACATCTGATGATAATAAAGACCTCCTTGAGAAGCTGTTTTGTAGGTGCATACATTCTCTTGATTCTTTCAGATAAGAAGAGTATAGGATAAATCAGGGAAGAAAAGCTGGAAGAGTATGATGTAAATTGTAATTTTTTGAACACATGTTTTCGGTTGGGATGCTCTATTGCTCTAGATTTGTGAAGCATAACCCTAGAATCAGCTCTTGTGTCTAGTAGGATGCTAAACCATGTGTGGCCAGACTAAGAAGAATAGCCTTTCCTATTGATTGTGTGGTCTCTGATTGGGTTTTATTGTGACATCTGAATTGTATTGTGGCCCAAAGTTCCTCGTGGAGCAACATCACCCATTTATGCAACAAACCTAGGTGTCATTTTGGAGACAGCATATTTTAACAATATGACTGCTTGTGGCATCTCTGTAGCACTAGCTGGCTTCTTAAGAGTTTGAATGGTAGATGTCTGCTAATTAATAAAGTTGGATATGAATTGATAATTATGGATTCATGCCTTCTATTACTATCATTATTTTAAAATCAGAATATATCAACTTACCTATTTTCTTTATTCTGTACAATTCTGTTATATTTGTCATTTTGCAGGTATTTATTGAGTACCAATATATTATGCCAGGCTTGGTTGAAGGTACTCACTTCTGTAAGGAACAGTCCTGTTTCACTCCGTGAATATATTAGCATATTACTCATATTCTTACTCCTTATATTGAAACCTAATTTTAGGAAAGGCTGTTGCATCATATTAACAAATATTGAAAAAGCTTTTATTAGTATTGATTTGGTTTTAATTGCCAGGTTCCTCTAGAGTTGGCCTTATTGCCCTGAAGCTGGGCATGATGCCTTTATGGACGAAGGATGGTCAAAGGCATGTGGTCACATTACTTCAGGTAAGAAAGAAACAGAAGATGTGAGGGATCTGTATATGTGCGTGATCTTTTTGTAAAAGTCTTCATGGACAATATTAGTATCCTGAAACACGTAACTGTATGGTGAAGAAAAGTTAATGTACATAAATAATATAAAGAACTTTATTTCTGATGGTTTCAGGAATGTTCTGACTCTTGTGTGAGCAGTGGCCTTCTGACACTGGTATTGGGATAACTGGGGCAATGAATTAAAAAAAAGAAAAAAGTGTACCTAGCTTCTCACAGATCTACCAGTTTAATTCATAATCGGAAAAAAATCTCAATCCCATTTTATTTTCATTTTTAGAGTTCTTTAAACTCCAAACTTATAATTTCTATCTTTTTGCTAACTATCATAATATAATACTCTCTTGTCTGGGGAGGCTGCATTATGTTCACTGGGATGAGGCATACTCTAATGGTTAAGAATGTGGGCCCTGAGATCAGAATAATTAAGTTCAAATCCTGGTTCTGCTACTTGCTAGCTGTGTTCCTTGGGGCACCGTGCCGCGTATGTAAAAGATATGAGTCTGTTCTGTAAAAGAAATAATTATGACCTACTTCCAAAGTTATTGTGAGGACTGCACATGATAAATGTCAGGTACTTAAAAACAATGTTAAATGTCCAATAAATGTTAGTTTCTGTTGTCTTTATCATTTATTATAGAAAGCTCACTAATGAAGTTAGGAGAGCATCACTCTCCAAATCACTTTGGACAACTAATCTTTGGGGCCTAATCTTAGACAAGTGACTAGATGGTGACGATGATTAAAATAAGAGCTCATGCACATAAGTGCTTAGAGTGCTGATAAGGCACAGAGAGTCTACAAACCCTTAGTAATATTTGTATTGGCTCTGAATGATCAAGTATAGGACAGTAGTTTCAAGAACTCTGAGGAACTTTGGGAGCTTTGGGGAATGGCTGTTGGGATTATAAATTGGTACGACTATTTCAGAAAACAACTTAGCAGTATGTGGTAGAATTGAGATGGGTAAGGTTCAGTTCCACTCCTGAATATTACTAGAAAATTTGAACAGGTATGCACCAGGATTCCTGTACAACAACGTTTAGAGCAGCATCACACTTAATACCCCCAAACTGGAAATAACCCAGGTGTCCCTCAATAGTAGATTGGGTAAATAAATCATAGTATATTCGGGCCGGCCCGGTGGCGCACTGCTACAGTGTGCCGCCTGGGAAGTGCGGCGGCACTCCCGCCGAGGGTTCGGATCCCATGTGCAGACCGGCGGCTCACTGGCTGAGCGAGGAGTGGGGGCAACACCGAGGGTTGCGATCCCGTTGCCGGTCCCGGTCCGGTACGGGCCCGACACTGAGGGTTGCGATCCGTTGCCGGTCACGAAAAAAGACAAAAAGACAAAAATAAAATAAAAATAAAAATAAAATAAATCATAGTATATTCACATAATGAAATGCTGTACAGCGATGAGAATAAACAGAGTAGAGCTACACACAACAGTATAGATGAATCTTACACATACAATGTTGAATGAAAGAAGTAAGACATGGAAGAGTGCATATAATCTGATTCCATTTATATAAAGTTTAAAGCAGGCAACACTAAATATATTATTAAGCAGTACTTTCAAAGGTAATAATTTTAAAGAAAAGTAAGTAAGGGCAGTGTTTCTCAAACTTTAGTGAGCCTCAGAATCAGCTGGAGGGCTTATAAAACACAGATTCTGATTCAGTAGGTGTGGATTGGGGCCTGAGAATCTTCATTTTTATCACCTTCCCAGGGGATGCTGCTGTTGCTTATCTGTGGATTACACTTTAAAAACCCCTGTTGGAGGGTAAAAAGGTGGCGAGGTGACTGGGAAGAGACACACAGGTTTTGGGGATTCTCCTTCTTGGCTGGGTAGTGGTTACATGCATATTTTCTTAATAAGTGCTCATTTTGTTGTATATTTTTGTTTTATGCACTTTTCTGTATGTTGTATTTGACAATTTTTTTAAAAGATTTATTTATATATTTTAAGATTATGGTTAGTGTTAGAGGCATGATGAGATAAGTAGTTTTAGGGAATTCCTAATTATCCTAGGGCCTCAGTGTGGTTGGTGTGTAATGTTAAAATCTCTCTTGGCACATGCTTAGTTTTTTTATTTTTTTATTTTTTAGGTACAAGACTGTCATGTCCTAAAATATACTTCAAAGGAAAACCATAATGGAAAAATGGCAGCACTAACTGTAGGAGGAAAAACTGTATCACGTTTTCGTGTAAGAATGTATTTTCATTCCTAGAATAGGTCTAAATGCTTTCATGTTTTGAGAATTTTCCATAGCCACAAACTTTCATTCATCCATGAGGTAAATTGTGTATTTGGGGGGAGGCAGTCTAGCAGATCCATTTTACCCAGGAGTCTAAGAGATTTTGAGTTTGTTTCGGTATCTCCCCCTACATCTGGAACAAGTAACTCTACCTCTCTAAACTATAGTGTTTGTATATCTGTAAAATGGGAACAAAAATACTACTTACCTAATAGGTTTGTCTTGAGGATTAATGAGGTTTTTCAAATGTGTCTGGAATGTAACAGACACTCAATAGATTTGGTTATTTTGTCATTGTTTCATGTTTTATTTCACTTTCTTTTTATGAAAAATTGTCTCAATACTTTAAATCAATAGCATATGAGGATTAATTTTGTGTATTCTAGAAGGGTGTTTCACATCAGATTTTTTTTAAGTAAAGCATTTTTTTCCTAAGTAGAATATTAATAGAATGCCGACTTCATGGTATAAATTAGAAAAATCTGCCCAATGACTGTCCTCTGTTGGATGACTAAAAACCAGGGAAAAGCTTTCTGGAAATAGTGATGGCTTTCACTAAAGGATAAGAAAACATCTTTAGGATTACTAGAACATATTGCTTATCTCTAAGAAGTTTTTCTCATTATAAATTGTTTATGAAATGAACTTGGACAGAAATTAGTATATAACCTGTGCTATCCAACTGTCAAAACTAGCAAATTTTTACCCTATGCCTACTTACTCCATTTCCTTGTCATAGTTAACTTTTATTGGACACTTATTACATGCCAGATACGTTAGTCTTTTACATTTGATATCTTATGTAACCTTTTTAGCCTCAGAGACTAAAGCAGTTAATTAATGCACTCAGAGCCATCCACTGGAAAGAGAGTGACGGACTCCAGGGCCTTATTTTCTTAACTGTGTCTTGATATCCACCCTCTGGGAATTTGCAGGCTAGTAAGGAAGATGGACAAATAAATCTGCCATCCCAATACAATATTATAAATCCAGAAAGCACAGAACTGGAGACAGCCAGTTTTGCTTGGGGAAATCCCGTGAAGATTCACAGGTAGCAGACCAGAAAGGAAAATGGGTGTTAAAGGCATGGCAGAGGGAATGAGCCATGGAAGAGCATGTGTACTTGGAAAGAGAAATGTGATATGTATGGGCATAGGCTGGTGGGTAGGGTGGTGAAGGTACAGCTATCAAGATAGAGTGCAAAGGAGTTTAGACTTCATCCTATAGACTTTGAGGAGCTTTCTGAATCCTTTACTATGGTAGTAACGTGATCAAATTGTTAATCTTGGTTAATTTAAATTAGAAGAATCTGGTTGCAGGGAGGACTTTTAGGAGGTTATTTTTTAAGTAACTAGGGGAGAGTTGATAAAAGCTTTTGAACCAAGACAGTTGCATTGGTATTGTAAAGGGCAGGGATTTATGAAGGACTGGGTGGATGTGAGTGTGTGGTGAGCGGATGCAAGCATGGAGCAGTTTCTAAGCAACTGGGTCAGTGCTGATTCCATAAACTGGAATAGGAACAAGAGAAGGGAAGTTTTAGAGGGAAGATGTGTTTGAGGTGTTCACAGAAAATCCAGGTGTAGTTGTCCTATAGATAGTGACAAATACTGATCAGTCAGTAGATGGTGGTTGAAATCATTGGAGTCCTATTGAACTGGCCTGTTTTCATAAGTATAAGAAAAGTTAACTATTTTGTGTATTATGATAGCATAGTCCATTTATTTTTGATTAAAGCTTTGTAGTAATATCTGTTCTGCTGTTCTTGACAGTTTATTGACAAACTCAGGTTCCAAATAATTATATAGTAATTAAAAACACAGTGATATATTTATGGAAACTTTTAAAAGACTATCAAGTGTTTGAATTTTTTTAATGTAGAAATATGTACCAGCCTTCATGTGAATTCTTTGGTTTGACAGATGCCTCTGTTTTCTAATTGATTGTACTTCTGTGTTTTTGTAATGACTAGCGCCGTCATCTTTATTTTCATTACTTGTAAATTCATGACTTTACGGCCTTGATATTTGTAAATCAAGCATCATGTCGGGATAATCCATTCTGCTCCAACAGATTTGTGAACATTGCTTTCTCAGAAATATGAGATAGTGGGTGTATTAGGGTTCTCCAGAAAGACAGCATTAATAGGATATGTTACAAATATATGAGAGGGGATTTATTAGGAGAATTAGCTCACACAGTTGTGAGGAAAAGTCCCACAATAGGCCATCTGCAAACCAGATGCTGATAGTATGACTCAGTTCAAGTCCAAAGGCCTCCAAGCCAGGGAAGCCAATGGTGTTCTTGATGTAAGTCCTGGAACTCAAAGTGAAGAGTCTTGAGCTCTGATGTCCACAGACAGAAGAGAAGAGTATATCTCAGCTCCAGCAGATAGAGAGCTTCATCTTTTTTCTCTGTCTTTTGTTTTCTCTGGGCCCCCAGTGGATTGGATGGTTCCTGCCCACGTTGAGGGTGGGTCTTTCCCACCCAGTCCACTCAGACTTTCATACTAATTTCTGCTGAAAACACCCTCATGGACACACCTAAAAAGATAGCTTTACCAGGTTTCTCGGCATTCCTTGATTCAATCAAGTTGACACCTAGAATTAATCTTCACAGTGGGGAAACGAGTGGATGTGGGCCAGAAGAGCTAAGTTCCAATCCCGATTTCTACCATTAGCTTCCCTTCACTCACCTTTTGAACATCCTTTTTCTTACCCACAAAAACAGGGAATAGGACTTGATGGTCCCTAAATTCTCTTCCAGTTCTGAAAGTCTCATGTTGGTTCTCTGAATATTCTGTTCTCAAGAAAAAATAAAAGTTGAAAAAAAATGAACTTGAGCTCAATTTATTCTATTTTACTTAGTGATGAAGATGTGTTACACTCATAGATAAAACTTCATGAACATAATAGTAGTAATATTAGCATAACTAACATAGTACTAATAATTAAAATATTATAGAAATGAGAGTACTGCACTTTCATACTCGAGACTGGTCCACATATTTTTTCTTATTCATACAGCTGTATTCTCTTCAATGAATATAAAATGCAGCAGGATGATTTAGATGTCATATTCTGGTGTTGCAGTGGATTTTGACCCATAGAATTTATGTAAATTTTAAAAACTATTCACTTCTCTAGCATAGGAAGCACTACAACGGCCCTTCTTATGTGATTTCTTCACAATGTGAATTTTCTAGGTCCAGAGGACATTTATTACAACATTAAGAAAAAGCTTTTTCTATAAATGATCTTTCTTCATAATGGGATGTGAAAATGAAGTTTTAGAATTTTTTATAAGTAAAGAATTTTTGTTTGAAAAGGAAAAAGATTTTGAAAACTAGAAGTATACAGACTTCCTCTCTCACATAATAGACCTCAGGGAAATTGCAAACAGATTGATTACAGAGGTGTTTTTTGTTTGTTTGTTTATTTGTTTGTTTGTTTGTTTGTTTTTAGATGAGACCTATGAATACAAAATATCAAATAGTTAAGCATCTGGAAATAAATTGATTAAATCAGTTTTATTTATGATGGGGCTTTATTTTTTTTAATCTGTAAGGAATTTATGCCTCCAAGAAGATAGACTACTTTGCCTTTGCTATTTTTGTGCCTTATTATAAATAAAAACTGATGTGGTACATAGTGTTTTTGAATAAGGAAGTTAAGTGGCCTTAAAAGTTGATTAAATCAATTCATCTTAGGAGCAGAGAAGCATTTCATTGTGGAAAGGATAATTGCAGAGAACTTTGAAGAGGGGGAAAAATTCAACCTCATAGATGGAATTATCCAAGTGTGACAATGCTGTCAGTCTTTTAAATTGCCTTTTGAAGTTATTTATTTGTAAGTTTTAAAAAGAAAAAGAAAACACGTTACACTGCTTCTGGTTTCAGCTCAACTTCAACATTTGGTTTTTCTTATGACTGAGACATAACTAGTTTTATACTATTTTGATTTTAAAAGAAAAAAATTATTCAATCTTAGTGAAGTTGGAAGATAATCAAGAAGTATGTGTTACCTTAGTTCTTTTTATGTTTTAGTCTACAGTTACTCAGGTCGAGGTGTTTATCTTGTCTATTTTGTATTACTAAAAAAGAGGATTTTTCTCAAAAGTGTAGTGTATTTCACCATGTGGAGATTGTTGGTGATCTTGACGAGCACTTTCTATTGATTGTTAGGGGCTGAAAGCACCTGATTAAAGTGGGTTCAGAGAATGGGAAGAGAAAGTAGACCCAGCAAGTCTTTCAAGGAGCTTTGCTGTAAGAACAGAATAATTAGCTAAAGCATATGTGGTCAAGGAAAAGTTTTGTTTTAACATGTGAGTTATTGTGACATGTTTATATACTGATAGGAAAGTTCATTAGAAAGGGAGAAATCGATGATTTAGAAGAGAGTAGGGACAATTTCAGGAGTAAAGCCATTGAATAGATGAGAGCGGGGGTAGGAACCAATGCTTTTAATAAAAGCATGAACAATTCATCTATCAATGTGATTCCCAGCTCTAGTTTGACGTTGGAATCATCTGGGATACTTTAAAAAATTGCTAATGCCTGGGTTCCACCCTCAACCAGGGAAGTTACAATCTCAAAGCAGAGGGCCGTTGGCATTGGCATTTTGTAGAAGCTCCCCATGTGCATCTCATATGCAACATGGAGCGGGATGGCAGGATAAGAGTATATGAGTGCGGGTACCAGCAGTTTGATTTGTTGATAAGATCGTGGAGTAGTTCTTTTGACTCTTTTTGATCAGCTCAAAGGGAAGTGGAAACAGTGCTGGAGGTATTAGAAGAGGCTGCAACAGAGTTGCCTCAGAGAGCATGAGGATTTAACCAGAGAAATGTAGGTTAGCCAGGCCATATTTGAGACTCATTTTGAAGTTTGTGGTCCTAACATTTAATTGTGACTCATCATGTTTTCTTCAGTCTCTTCAGAATAGGTGCAAAGTAGGCAGGGAGTTGATTTCCTGGGGTTGGGGTTCTTGATACAGTCTGCAGTCAGAATTCAAATATGAGCACAGCTCTGTTTCTTTTCCTACGGAATAAAGATCTTTCCCAGTATGCTGTATTTGAAACACTATGCACACAGTTGGATCCTAAGCAGTAAGGTTATTTATTCATAAAAATGTAATAGATAGGGATGTAAATCTCACCTCACTAAAGTAAGGGGAATTGGATGCTCTTAGTTCAATAGGTGAATAGGGCACACCTTGATTTGTTTTCTGCGTTGTTAATAACTTGGTTTAGATCTGTATGCATTCAACTCTAGTATTTAATGTTCTTCTTATATATGCTGCTTTTCCTCTAGAAACCTACATCTGTGTTGGAATTTTACCGAGAACTTGGATTGCCGCCAAAACAGAAAGTTAAAATCTTTCATGTAACAGATAATGCTGTAATTAAGCCAGGTAATGTGAGGTCTGGGAGAAGAGGGAGGTAAAAATACCCAAATATGTGATTTGTTTAATGTCAGCCCTTTCAATAAAGCTGAATCCAAAATACAAAGGCCCAAACACTTATTTTTAAATATAAAACTGTATCTGATTAATCACTAGGTACAAATAAGTCTTTGTCTTTTTTAAGTGGAAAAAGCTGTAGGGAACTCTTTGTTTGCTGTAAGAGAAGGAGGAAACCTTTTGTTTTTAATGTAGAAAGAGTTTCACATTTGAAAAACCTACTCCAAATAAATACACTAACTTTTAAATTTTGAGTTTATTGTTTGCAGGCTGGCATTCTGTTAAGTGGAGAATAGCTAGACTCTCACAAGAACTTGAGAAACTATAAAGCCTGAAACGGGAGAGTGACTAACCATAGCACCTCAATGTGAAGATTCTTACTTTACCAAATACAGCATTTTGATGTCTTTGAACTTCAGACAAGCTCCCTGATCTTTTGAACTTGAGTTCAAACAAGACACTAGAATGATGTTTTAAAACTTAGTATTTTAATATCTGTACTGAATTTCTTGAAGTAAAATACAATTGCAGTAGGCCTTATTAGTTGGGTGACAGAGGGTCACCTTAATATAAGCTAAAATTAAAAGTATTTTCTGAAGTTTAAGTTTTGCAACTTTAAGGCAAACTAAATGGAATTAGACTATCAAGTATAAAAATTTGTAGAGGTGCTTGGATTGTATATTAGGATGGTTTATAATGATATATTCCACTTTAAATATAAAAGGATACTTTGAAAATATTTGGTTGTGTGGACAGTTTGTTCTGAAGCAATTTTAAATATTCTGTTTGGTATTAACATATCTAACTTTCTTAATCCCTTTGTTCATGCTTAGGATAGAGATAAAAATTGAGTCCACATTAATATTTGCTGTAGCTCAACCATAAGAAATTGTTTTTGTGGGTTAAAATGGTCATGCATCAGCAGTTCAAGACGTTCAACCTCATGGAAGTGCAGTCACTTTTAATCTCCCCTATTTTTCCTTTTTTTATTAATATTTTTGATTGACAAATCATAATCGCATATATTTATGGGGTACATTGTGATGTTTTTATATATGTAGGCAGTGTGGAAAAAATTCCCATTTTTTCTGAATTCAAGGTTTTTCTCTGCCATACAAATCCAAGTTGGGTTCTATCTTAAAGGAAACTACCCTCTGAAATCTCACCCCACTTTACTGCCTGGGTTAAATACACTAGCTAAAATCAGCTTTCATGTTTAAATGTGATGCATCGTGTTGTCTTTACTCTCTTCAAAATAGGTGCAGAATAAGCAGGGAGTTGATTTTCCTTCACAGAATATTATGAAGGGGTTTGATTTATCATGAAATTTTAAATGTTTTAAATAACATGTTTCCCAAGTATATTTAAAGTAAGACTTTATTTACATGAAACTAGTTTTATAAATGTTTATATAAAATTAGGGGTATCTATAATGGCAGTTTTTTGCTATTCCAAATATCTGGGCACATACTAGAACTATATGTTATTGGTACAGTGACTAGTCCACCAAAAATCTGATATGTGTGGCGGGGCTTTATATGGATATCATACCATAATCATTACCCAGCATATGAGGGACCTGCGTTCAAGTAATTAAATTTCCTGTTTCTCTCCAATGGGTGAAAAATGATTTGATCAGTCCTCAGCATTTTTTGGTTTTTCTTTTGCTTTTGTTTTCTTTATGTGAAATAGGAAATAAATACTAATTCTGTATATTGTTAATTACCAAAAAGCAAGCAAGAATCGTTAAACTTGTGTGTTTACCAGCAAAAGCATGGTTGTCACAGGAATCACTCACTTCAGCCAGCATCACATTGGCCTCTGTGAAGGCACCAGCACATTAGTCGGGGATAGTGTTCACTCCAGCACCATGTACCCCGTACTGGGCCACATCATTCTTCAGCCCACACGTAGTCAATCAAAAGACATGTTTATTAAATAATTTCATTGTTTGGATGTTTCTAATGTTTATAATTGCAGAAAAGAATCTCCTGCCATTTTTGAAATCTGATAGCTAGGCTTCTTAGATGTAGTTTATGTTTAATAAAGTTGTTTCTGTGCTGACAAATTTCATATTGATTTTTTGTTTTCTTTTCATAAAGGCACTCCTCTTTATGCTGCTCACTTTCGTCCAGGACAGTATGTGGATGTCACAGCCAAAACGTAGGTTCTCACAGCAGGTTCTCTTTTCCTTTTGTTTTCCTCATATATTAAAAAAGAACAGAATGAGTAAAAGTACAGTCTTTGCAGTCAGTACATAAAGGATACATATTATTCTCACTCATAATTCTAATCTTTAATGCTACTGACTGTACTGGTTTTAAAATTTTATTGAATTAGTTATATGGGAAGAGTTCTCATCAGGTTACAACTTTTATTTTTTTATTTTTTTATTTTATTTTTTAAAATTTTTAATTAATCAATTAATTTTTTATTTTCATTTTACTTCTCAATATACATTGTAGTTGGTTTTCACAACTTTTAAATTGAGCTGTATGCTTCTTGAAATGGGTCTACAAGAAAGATCACATTACTTAGGTTTTTAGCGGGTTGGGCCAACATCTATTTTGAAGATCGAAGACAACATACAGTTTGGTGAAATACAAAGGTACTTCAAAAAGTTTGTGAAAAAATAGAATTAAAAGGTAATGCAATCTTTCCATGAACTTTTTGAAGTACCCACATAAACATGAGCAATGATATATGATGGAGTTCCTTTACGATTGTATAGTTTAGTTATTGTCTGTTCTTTCCAATTCTAGGAAACAATTAAATTAGGAAACATTTTCTACTATTCGTGACAGTGGTGGTTGTGTTTAAGGTTCCCCTAAAGTAACCATAAAACATTTTTTGTAACTGTTAAAACCCTATCAGAGGCTGGAAGAAGAAATAGCATCACACCTTAGGTGTCTTCAGTAGCGTGACATTATTCCTCAGTACTACATAAGTTAGATGTCTTCCATAAAAGCAAAAATTTTTTTATACTTAAACAAAGGTTTAATTTGATAGAAATGAACATTTAATTATCACTTTAACAAAAATGCTGACTTTGACTCATATTTAGACTGGGCATTGGTATTTTTGGTAGTGTAGCTTTTTTATAGCTTACCATTTGTATCAAATGGCTTAGGATAGTTCAGTTCTGGCTAGATGATCTCCAGGAAACATTTATATCTTAGAGAAATAGTTTTTCAAAAATTTGTTGAGGTTACCTCACTATAGAATAAAATAACCAAGACCTTACGTATGCATATATAGGAATTGTTCAGTGTAGGTTATTGGGATTCACATGACCTAGGTTAAACAAAACTCCAAATTATCCATTCCTTTTGTTTTCTCAACATAGATGATAATTTCATTTCTCTTTTTGCCTCTTTTCTCTTTTTTTGTCATATGACAATGTATACAGGCATATTCTGACAAGTAAACCTTTTAAAATAAACAATTGTTCACAGGTATTGTTTTTTTTTTGTTTTTTTTGTTTTTTTTAAAAAAGATGACCGGTAAGGGGATCTCAACCCTTGGCTTGGTGTTGTCAGCACCACGCTCAGCCAGTGAGCGAACCGGCCATCCCTATAGAGGATCCGAACCCGTGGCCTTGGTGTTATCAGCACCACACTCTACCGAGTGAGCCACGGGCTGGCCTGTGTTCACAGGTTGTCCACAGTTGTCCTCTGGGGTAGTTTTATGATCACAGTGACTAAGCCAGAGTGGCTTTTATCCAAGGAAACCAGATGAATGCCAGTGCCAGTTTTCTTAACACAGTTAGATATATTCTTCATTTCCACACCATATTCACCTAGTTTCAAATATAGGCCATTGAAAAAGCTGCTAGATGCCTTTACCTTTGTTTAGCTAGTTAGAAATAGAATGAGATAAATTGGTACTAGGGTGGGTCCTCTTTTTAGAGATTATGAACCTGTTCCTTTTTTTTCCTGCTTCCTGATAGTTGTGGACTCATGGACCCTAGTTGCCAGGGCCCCTACTCTGTTTGTTCTGCTTTCCTTTTGTCAAGCCCTCAAAATATTGGAGCTTTAAAGCTTTGATTTGGTTAGTTGAGGAGGTATGTGTGTTGTGAGTCATATTACTTTACTTTTTCATTTCTGAATTAATTAGTATATATAATAAACTACTACACAGTAACTGTGTTAATTTATACAAAGGTAATGTGTGAATTCCGTTATATATTTTACAGGATATATGGGACATTCTGAGAGGCCACTGTTAGTAGATGCATTGTAGCTAGACTTGTGACTAGCTTGGATTAGAGCCTAGCTTTTCAAATATGTGTTATGCAGTAAATGCTTTCATCTCATATGCTGCTGTTGAGTTTCTTTGGTTTCTTAAAAGTTATTTTTAAGCCTTCAGCCTTCTTCTTGTGAATATTAAGGGTAAGGGGAAGTTGTTCTGTTTATTTTTTAAGGTCGTGTTCCTAAAAAACAAGATTCTGTAAAAATCATGTGCCAGCCTCAGGACTCAGTAGCTATTAAGAGTTGGGAGAATAACTAGCCCTTCAATTTAAAATAGTGACAGGTGTTTCTGGAGAAGGGAGGACCTCCGTTTGAGAAGATCCCCACTAGTGTATGGGCTGCAGTACAGTATTCTGATTGATTTTCTCTGTGTAACAGTGAGGGGGTTACCCCACATGTGTATGTGCTATATTCTGGTGTACGTAACTTATGGTGTTACCTGAGATCAGAATGAATTGGACTTTATTTGACCCTTTGCTAATGTATAATCTGCTGGCTATAGCTCTAGTAGCTGGCATATTGTTATGGCCTTAAGACCAACAGTAACAGCCTCTTCTTGAATACATCCTTAAAAGTGTTCCTTTTAAAAATAATTTTAATAATTGCAATAGGAAATCTGCTTACATTGAAAAATACATTGTTTACCTGTGCTGATTTTGGTTATAATTTTCTGTATCAATAGGTAAATTTACTAGTATCACTTTGGAATGTGAGGTGAATATATATTTACCAGTTTATTTTATTTTTACTTTTATACCAGAAATAGTTTTTCATCTAAAGGCTCTGAGAATACAAATTCAATTTTGATTGTATGGGAAAGATTTTTACATCTGATACATAAAACTGTCTAGCAATATACTTTTACACAGTTTCATTACGTTGTTAATAGGTAATAAAACCCAGTCTTTGAAATATGGCAGTTGTATTTAATTCATTCTAAATAAAATTTTTAAACTAGCGTATATAATGATATTTCTTCTCTCTACTCTACACCGGTATACCTTTTAAAGTTTATATTCTTGTTCTTAAGTAGCAATTATATTCCATTTTAACTTCTAGTAGATGATGGTTTAGGGTCTAACATTTTTCCCTTTTTCTTTGGTCTCAATTTTGAGGAGGAGACGGCTATAAATAATTAATAAGTATAAATAGTGAGTGAGATGAGGTATGACTGTTGAGTGTATCCTCAGCATAGGATGTTTAGCCATTCGTTTTTGTTGAATGCTAGAATTGCTTATTATAATTTGTAGTAAAAAAAAAAAAAGAAGAAGAAGAAATGAGAAAAGAATTAAACTAAGAACAGACAAAAGAAAACTGTAAAAATGCATTCTGCCACATTTAGGGGAAAATGTTAGGTCTCTGACTCAAAGGAATTTAAGGACAGATGATAGTAGTATATCCATAACAGTGGGCACAGAGGGATACTTTCCTGCCAAGTGTCGGATTGAACTTGGGGGGGGGGGGGGGGGATGGAAATCAGCTTTAATTCATAAATACCAGTGACCTGAAGCACATAATAAGTTTTTTGTTTATTTCTTGTTTTTTGGAGGGGCTGGGTGGCATGGGGTTGTGAACTCTTGATCTTTGGTTACAAGGCGGCACTCTAACCAGCTGAGCTAACCGGCCAGCCCTTACTGAACTTTGAATTCATGACAGTGGCATACCTGAAGTAATTTTTTTTTCTGGTTATCTGGAATTTGTTTATTTATTATTTAAATTTTGAAGCCCATATTGAAGTTATAAGACAACTCATTCAGGTACCTAAAAGAATTTTTCTTTCTGGAAGAAAGATAATCTAAAAATCTTGTCTACAGGTCTGGGCCCATTAAAACAACACATGTATTTTCAGGCATAATCTTACTATTTTAATAGCAATTTTGAACATAATCTTATTACTTAAAAGTTGTCAGTGCCCTTTAAATTCTTATTGCCCTTTTGTCTCAAAATGGAAAATAGTCACTTATCTTGATAATGTTGTCGTAGTAGTAAAAATCAAGGGGAGTGTGGTGGGGGAGATTAGGTAATTGTTAGAACACCTCTGCACATTTGCTGATATTCAGTTAGTTTGAGTTAGTTTGGGTTCTTCCATTAAAATATCAAATTGTGTAAAGAAGTATTATTTCCCATCAAAGTCTTAAAGGTGGTTAGAAAGCCAGGGGTATTCCAATAGCCAAGATATGGAAACAACCTAAGTGTTCATCAATGGGTGAATGGATTTTTAAAATGTGACTTATATACCCAGTGGAATACTATTCAGTCTTAAATTCTGCCATGTGCAACATCATGGATGAACCTAGAGGACATTATATTAAGTGAAACGAGTCAGAAACATATACCAAATGATCTCACTTATATGATCTCACTTATTCATAGAAGTAGAGTGTTGCTTTGCGTTGCTTCGCCCCCCACGGATTTGTCACCCCACTTCCCCTGGGTGACGGAGATGAAAGGATTACTCAAAGCCCATCTCTTCTGAGCAGTGAGAGGCCCCGAAGTGGTTAATCTCCTGGAACCCTCAAAAGAGAGGGATCCCTTCCTTGGGAAATTAACACTGAATTGGGGTTCTCTTCCTGCATTTATTTTCCAGACCAGGAAGTTACAGGAAGAGAAGAAAGGTGGAATTATAGTTTAACAATATAGGCTGGTAACTTTCAGTGAAACAAACCAGATGACATTCCAGTAAGGCAATTAAGGGGTCCTATCAGCAACAGTTTGATCTTAGCAAACATTCCTTCTTAACAGCAGTTTCTCAGTATCTTTACATAACAATCAGTAACTAGTCTGTCTTTGAGCCAGCAACCTGCTGTGCCACAATCCTTATCTTGCAACAGAGACATACCCTGAGGGAAATTTCCAGTCCTCCTCAAGGTCAATATTTGAAACTGCAAGGCTTTGGAAAACTAGGCCCTGTGA